CACTAAATTTCATGTAATATTTAGTGTTATTTATGTTATTTTAATGCGAATACAATGTACATATTCTACATTTTAAGAAATATATCACATAAATAATTGTATACAATTAAATACAACAATCGCTTGCAATTAAATGAGTTAAAACATTCATTTGAACATAAGTAGTCCTTTGAAACATATATTAGACGGAAATTAAAATATATTTTAACGGTGATTGGTTGTAGATATGGTTGAGTGAATGCTGATTGGTCAAGCAAATAAAACAAATAATCAATTATCTGTTCAATAGTTCTCGTTTCACTTTCGATTTATTTTTATTTGTAGAGTTTCTTTTGTTAATTAATAATTAGTTCTATAAAATTTGTATTTATTTTATATTAAAAAATAAAAACAATACTAAAAGGCTGACGTTTTAGCGATTTTATTATTTTTATAACTCTTTCTGCCTTAATAGATGTAAGAGGCCTGTCTCTTAAGTTCCCAACGTCAATTCAACAAGGCTAACAATGAGACCACTCAACTATTGAGAAATAGGGCCCGACATATCGAGGTCAACTCATCCGCAAAAATGTCAGATAATCCGACTTGAACCAGAAAACAACTCTCTCAGTACAGCATGTTTCATTTTTTATTTTTGGTTGTTTTCGTTCTGTGGGCTTAAGAGAGTCCTTTTATATATTATACCCATTATAATTAGGCCAGGTCCACAATAGTAATGAAGGACGGAACCTAATATATCCGTAACAAATTGTTTCATGGGCTAAGGCTAAGCATCACGAGGGCGAGCTGATGGGGGAAATGCCTACCGGAAAGATTTTCTATAGGAAACGGGCCCTAATTAGGTGAAACCCGGAAAACTCCACGCGGACCAGCGCATTGGCCAGGCGCGAACCCACGACCAGTGTTCAGCGATTTAATCTACTCGGTCAGTGGTGGGCATTACATTTTATACAACTATAATATATAGACCCGTCGAACGGCCCACCGCTTGGCCACTGGTGGGCCGTTCCCTGAACACTGGAAGTTCTGTCGTGGATTCGTGTTTTGCCAGGACGAGCTGGCCACGTGCAGTTTTCCGGGTTTTCTCCACGTCTGTAACACCTGAATAGGGACCAGTTACCCTTAAAAAGATCTCCCGGAAGGCATCGCCCAAGTGTTGCGTTGCCATAATTTAACAAAACAAAACAAAGACTGTAATAGCGGGATTTTAATGCCAGCGAGGGTTTACTGTATTCAATTTGACATTTTTAAGTTTGTTCGCGTCAAAGACTCCCCCAATTTAGTCTTTTATGTAAAATTAACTTATATATGCATAAGTTTCTGCTTAGAAGTGCTGGAAAAAAATCTATTTTTATTTGTGTTTTATTGGTTCTATTCACATAGTCATTCCTCAACATAGCGATTTCCTAAACATTGCCACCTTCATAAAGCGCCAATGGATATTTCTCTTAAATATTAAGCAGAAAATTTCCTATTATTCGTTAGTTACAAAGTGTACGATTTTGCATTGCTATAATTCTTATTGTTTCGGGTTTAGCGCCAATTTCAAAGCACTAAATCGAAATTTGACCGTATTTTTATATATTTTGCCCTACATCTACGTATACAACCGGTTTTATAATAGAAATTTTTAGATAAATTTAATTTATTGCATTTATAAGCCATAAAGTTTCTAACTAGGGGGTCTTTCGGATAAACCAGAAATTCCCTTTTTTTTTGTTTTGTTTTTTTGGGTACATTAAGCACTATGCCTTTAAAAGTCTACGAACAATAAATACTGTCATTTAATTACTGTATTTGAAGATAAATTTAGTCAAAATCTAACGTAATGTTTCGTACATATGACCTAGTTTCGTGGCGCTGCAATCGACGAAATGATTTCCAGTAACATGGAGAGTTTGGTGTCTATGTCTATATCTGTGGTATATACAACACTAAACATTCCAGTTTTTGGAGGAATGAATGCCTGTCGGGAGGTCTTTTATGAAAAACTGGCCTCTATTTAGGTATTAGAGAGGTTGAGGCGCACGTTTTAAACGTGTAAACGTGTACGTGTGACGTTCGGCGCCGCTTTCCCTTAAGCCTAAAAGTTTCGATTTTCCACAATAAAAAAAGAGAATTAAAAATTTCATCATTTCACTTTCCTCCTGAGCTAAAGCGAGAAAATTTCCTCAAATTTTTATAGGATTTATTTAACATGCGAATTTCATTAATATCTGCAGAAGAGCCGTTTTAAGAAAATTTCATGTCTTAGGCAAATCTAGGAATCTCAAAGTTAATCTTATATTGTATACTTACTACTGTACCCTCTTGAAAAAGCTAGTTTAGATTATTTATTTACAACAAGGCGACACGTGGGCGAACTGCCTCCCGGGAGGACATTTTAAAGGAAACTGGGCTCTATTTAGGAGTTACAAACGTGAAGAAAACTCTGAACAGAATCTCTATATAAACCCCGAAAGAAAAGAAAGAAAGAAAACTCGGAAAGTTTCACGTGGCCAGTCCGTTGGCCAGGCGCAAACCCACGACCAACTACAACTATTCAGTGGTTTTATCAACTCGGCCATTGGCGGGCCCTACAGAAACTATGAATGCCACTATGTTCATTACACATTTACAAACAGATTAACAGATATAGTCCATAATTAATTGCCTAGTTTGTTTAGGATTAAATCCGGCCCTGATCTGCATATTTTCTCTTGACACATGATTAATGATGTAAAAAAAATGTCTTTACGGCACGTGTACTTTTCAGATTCCAGTTACATTTGAATTTCTTCACGTTGATATTTGTACCAGTTGTCTGTCAGTACGAGCACTTTTAATTACAAACAAATTCAATATTCTAATTAATTTTTTAATATTAAAAATAACTTTCAACGAAGGTTGAACGATAATTTCTAATTTATTTATTTTTTTAATCTGAATTAAAAGTAATATTTTTAAGGTCACCGTTCAGAGATATCGTAATTATAAACAAGTTTCAATGAAAAACTAGATAAATTATACATTCGTACAGATAATTGTTTTTTTTTTTTTTTCATAAATTTTCACTAAATATAACGTTATAATTCATTATCATTTAATCGTTTCCATGAAAATGAAAGTGTTTTCTATTTATAACATTAACTTTTCCTTTGATAAATTACTCCTCATAATGCTTACAAGGGATATACTTAAAAAGGTAATTCAATTATTTTAAATTTATTTAAATAATCTTAATAATAATTTAGCGATTAATATATAAAATATTAAAGTTCTGCTGATTTATCATGTAAACTATCAAGGCTTTGATGGTTAATTAAGATCTAAACTGTCAAAACAGTGATGATTTAAGACTTAAACCAGTGATTTTCAAAGTGGGCACTACAGCTCCCTTCAAAGCAGTAGAAGTCTGAAGGGCACACTGAAAGGAAACAGAGATAAAAGTTTATTTTGAACAAACAACATATATATATATATGTTATATATGCATTTAAAGATAGCAATAATCCAAAAAGTTTTGGAAACACTGTTTTAAGCCATCAAAGATGGTTTCTAGTATAGCTTTTTCTATCATGTATTTTATTATTTTTCAATAAATATAATTTGTGAGTTACTTTTGGGCGTGTATGCCAAATGTACAACCTTATACAACTTACAATACATGACATACTGTGGCCTTCTGATTAAGAAATGTGAACAATAATGCAACGTGTCCAAGTCGTACATACCTGAAAATCAGAGAAAAATTTTTGATTAATTTAACTAATAAACACCCTTACAAAGAAATTACACACATAAAAAGAACTTAAATGCATCTCTGGATACATTGCAATACGTATTTGTATTTATGTTCAAGCATCTACATGAGTAATGAATTTCATTAAATTATATAAAATAACGGAATAATAACTCTTGTAACATGTTGCTTATACATAAAATCAAAGTTTTATAATAAAATATTGTAAAGAAATAACGAATTATTTATATTAAACTGAATGACATAAGTTAGAAAATACGATCTTGAACTTTAATACTTGGTCATATCCGGTATGCATGTCATAAAACCGTAACTTGTCCTTGAAGGTGAAAAATCTATGACGTCTATTGAGATGGATATGCATATTTATCATTACTATATTTATCCATGTATATATTTAGCTTTGTTTCTAACAAAAAAAAAAAAAATAGAAGTTTGTTTTCAAAATTTATTTCTTATTTAATTCATGTAATTTAACAAATTTTAATAATATAAACAAATTATTTCGAGTAAACTTTCTAATTTAATTTGAAAAAAATTCGCCTAAAAACTTCAAATAATAATCCCTAATTTGCATATGATAATGGTTATTGAATAGAACATAAAACTGCCATCTAGTGACAAAAAATTACTTTTTTGGGTAGGAATTTTAAGTAAATTTAAATAAATTAATTAAATACGTTTTAATTTTAATTTTTTTTATTACTTTTTTATAATTATATATATTTTTACACTTTATATACAAAGCATTTATGCAACTACGAGTGACTTAACGACATTAAGCAACATTAAAAAAAAGTAAAATGCAGTCAAGGCACTTGTTTTCTATAGTTGCTGCTGTACATTTTTCTCTGCATTTTTTTTTATCGTGAATTTTATTAACATTAATACAAAAAAATCTTCAGTTTTAAGCTTAAATTACACAAACTAACTTAAAAATCCCATTCGAACAGTAGTAAAAGATAAGGAACATTGACACCACGTACACACGAAATTCTCGAACGTTTCTTATAAAAAAAAAAAAAGCGGTGGGAAATTTAAGAAAATAAATGTCTCTGCTTAAAATTTAAAGAATTATTCAACTGGCTTCTCGAAATCGAACGTCACAAACTAAAGAGAAGTGATCCGAAGGATAAGTGAAAGATGGCACCCTATTGACACCTATATCGTCACCCGTTGGTAACTGTAATACGGAATGTACCTGTAGTAATTGTGGCGTGTAAAATATATAATCTAGAGTCTGACAGACTTCACCCTCTTCGCGAATCTTCCACGTTGTGTAAGGTGGTTCCACACCGTGATTACTTAAATGGCGGTAGACACTATCTAGTTTCACTTCCTGGGATGATAACATTGTCCTATATACTGGTTCGGTCGGTTCGGCATTAAAATCACCACATATAACGACCGACCTTTTATTAAAGTGCATACGTATAAAATCTAAGAGGTCCTTTCCTTGTTCGTTTCTGAGTGTGGGCAGCAGTGTACCTTGACGAGCCTTCAGATGAGTTGTGACCACGCAGATTTCTCTTCCGTCTTTTTTCCTTTTTAGTAACGTCAGCAATGCTACCTGGTTGGATTGACAGGTCCATACTTCTAGAATTCGGCTACACGTTTTTACGTGCCTGAATTTTTCGGCGTTGTAGAATAACGCGCACCCGTCTGGCCCGTTGTTTCCTTTGATGTAGTAACAAGGGGAATCGGGCTTAGGGAAGAAGAAACCTAAATAACCTAGAATACCCAGTGTTTTCTTCAAAAAATTAAAATGGTCCACCTCCTGCAGGCATATTATATCGGGACGGTACGTTAAAATCTCCTCTAGTATCCTCCATCTCCGCAGCTTCCAATCCAAGGCACTTAATGGGCAAGACACGAAATTGTCGGTTTTTTCTCCAAGAGCTGAATACATAGAAAGAAATCTCATTTGTTAATATTAAATTTAGAAAATATTTTATTTTCTAAAAATGAAAAGTGTCTAGTGATTGTTAAAAATGATGATATAAAATATGTAATTTTTCAGAAGAGTGGGCAAAAAATCCCTACGAATACTAGATAGGAATTATCTATATCCTTCTCGGGCCCATCAGTGGCCAAGTGGTTTCGTTCCCTGAACACTGGCAGTTCGGGGTTCGCGCCTCTCCAGAACGGGCTGGCCACGCGGAGTTTTCCGGATTTACTCCACGCATGAATAGGAACCAGTTACCCCTTAAAAACATTCCGGAAGGTATCCCCCTAGGAGATCGCCCAAGTTTTGCTTTGCCATAACTTAATAAAACAAATAACTGTATCCTTCCCTCATTCTCTGTACTAACTTTGATTTATTTCCCATTTTCCTCTAGATAGCTTTTTTCTTCGGAAGAAGTTAACACGGATGGCTTAAAACTTTGGAAATCATTAAAAGTATTCTACAATAGCTATTTTTGGATCTTGGACTCTTGTAGACTCAAAAAGTTTTCTGTTTGGTGAATGCCCAGAGTGTTCTTCTCGAAGGTATCCGGCCTTCGAAAAGACTAAATTCAACATCGAGCATGGTTCCATTAACGTTCCAAACGCCATTGTCAAACTTCTAGGCTTACAGGAAGTCGGCGCTGAACATTCGACGTTCACGTCTGCGTGGAAAACTTCAGCCGCAACGTCGCTATTTGCAGTTACACAATGGCAAATACTGTAATTTTTGGATTATTTCGTACAAATATCACTTGATGTCAGAATTTCACGCTGTCCAATATTAAGTGAAATCCCGAAAATATGTTGTTCGGATCGCGTAAAAAGGACCTTTAGAAGATATTTACAGATGAGACTAGCCTCGTTGGTTCCTAATATGCCAGTTTTCCTATTGAGCACGGGTTTAAAATCTCATGCATTTTACGAGGCTATTGGAGATTAGTGTCAGATTTGACGCTGATGCCGTCTATTGGTCTTTTTTAAACTCTTTCCGCCCTGTGGGCACTAAGAGGGTCTTTCTTAGCAAACCCGTTTGGAGTTCGGCCAGAACCACAATGGGTGGCTGGCTCTATTGATCACCTATTATTTGTGCATTGACAATACTCAAAAATCTCTTATTACGAACAAAACACTGAATATAAGTTAAAACACGATAAATTGCATGACAGGATTTATGCATAAGGCCTTGAGTTACGAGGGGATTGGCCGTAACTAAGGTTTCCATTATTGTTTTATAGAAGTGGAAGGGTTCTGTTGGTTTTATTTGTATATGGAAACGTGACATATGACCATTCTACCGAAGGAGGAATGCCTCCTGGGGATCTTTTATAAAAAAAATAGCCCCTAGTTAGATGTTACTAACCCTGTGGCCTGCCCGTTGGCCAGACTCGAACCCGTGACCAGTATTCAGTGGCATTATCCACTCAGACGCTGGTGGGCTACTGTTATAGATTACATACACGTGTAAATTGTAATTAAATAAATATTCCAACACACAAAAAATATAATTGAATAATTTTAATTATATCGAAAATGCATTCTCGAATTCACATATATATTATGACCCTTAAATCGTGGCAATTGACATTAAATTGTTTACTTTGGTGGATATTTAAGAATTTTCTTTATCATCATCATCATCATCATCATCATTATGACCTGGGTTAACATCATCTGTGATTTGGTGTTTTGCATCAGTAGTAGATTGTTCCGGTGCAGCTGAACTTTTAACCTCTTCGGATTCAGTTGGTTCTTGTGTAGTTGGTGCCTCTGTTGCATCTGGATTCATACATCTCAAACCACGAGAATGGGAAGACTAAAAACAAATTATTCCATTAGAAATTAAGTTCTTATTAAAGTAAATGATGATAATCTTTACTGCATACGTGAGAATGGTCGTTGTCATCGTCGTCTTCGTTCTCGGACATACACTCTAAACCTTCTTGGCACGGGCATTTAACGAAATAACGTCCCTTTCCGGCCAGGCCGTGTAAAAAATCTGGCATACATTTCTCACCTAAACAGAAAAATTCATTTATTTTTAAAATATAAATTAATTCAAAATATATTTTTAGAATAGGGATAAAGTTTCTGAGAAATGCTACAACAGATAAGATTAGAAAGGAAGAGATACCGAGGGTAGAAGATACTATTGAATAAAAAGAGATAGGGCGATTTGGTCATCTTAAAGGGATGAAAGATGAAGGAAGAATATTACGAATGATCGTCGAGAGAGATACGCATGGATAAAGATTATAGGGAGAGAGTCAAGGAGGGAGTGGTTCAGAGGGCGAGATAGATATTTAGATAGAGTGAGAGTGAGAGAGGGGGAATAAATTCGAAGGAGATAGTAGAGTATATATGGTGAAAGGATCAAACAAAATGGCGATCCTTCACCAATATTACCTTGCAACTAAGATCAAGATTCGATATGATCTACCCACTTCCTTTTTTGAGTGTTTTATAAACTCATTGGAGCGTTATAGCTTCATTTCAGCGTTATAGCCCAGTCAAATTTGAATTAGGGGACCTCATGTACAGTGTCGAGTTTAAACGTTTTTCTTCGGGGTTTTCTTCATTTGGGGGAATATTTTCATATAATAAATTGGCTTGGGCCTCCCGTTGATGGAGTCCCCAGCCAAATTGCCTTTTTGCCCGTAGGATAACGCGCCATTGTATAAACTTATAGTTTCCTGAATGAAGAGAGACCAAATGGTGCCCTAAATGCACTCGCCAGTTTCTTTAACAGATTATTTATGTTACATTCAGTGTAATTTGAAATATATAAAATTTTTCGAGGCGTTTTTAATTACCAAAAATGAATTAATCTCACCTTCTTTCAACAGTCTCTTACACTGCCCTAACCGGAAAAAGAATCCACTTGGTACATAAGTAATGCAACACTGTCCTTCTTTACAATCCTTACCACTCTCACATCTTTGACCTTGCAGCTTTCATTGAAAAAATAATAATAATAATAATAATAATAATGTCAAAATTAACAAAATCTATCACAAAATTCATGAAATAAAGAAAGAAACTTACCGCTAAAACGCATGCAAAAATCACAGCGACAAACAGAACGTACTTCATGGTTTAAAATTTTATATATTTATAAAATCTGCTGCTGGCTGAAGGGATACTGATCATGGTCGTTTGCCCTGTCCTTTATATAGAAAACAAACCATTTCTCAACGCTTCTATCTTATCTGCATTGTATACAATTAGAGAAGATAAAACTTTATCCTTATCCGAGTCTAGGGAAACCGTAAAATAAATTATAATTTGTTTTTTTTACTTTCTTTATTAATCTTTTGTCTGGAATTATCGTCATCCATCTTGAGTAATCACTTGTTTGACATATTTTAAAGTCGTTGCCGTTGTCAAATACATATCGATAGGCGCATTATTAATTAATTAAACGATCAAAGGGGGGTTTGTATGAGTTACGTCATTGTTTGGTATTCGTAATTCAAACTGAAAGTCGTGTAAATAAATAACTTAATGACGCTAACGGAGTCGTGTGTTGTTAATGCGTTTTTTAATTGTTTTTATAATTTTATTTAAAATGTTATAATTATAATTAACGCACGCATATTTAGTAGACTTAAAGGGGTTACGTCGTGGTGTGTGTGTTAATTATAGTATAAATATCACGCGCGTAGCGCCACGTAAATGGTAACGCGCCGCGACGCGTGAGAAATACACGCGTCGCGGCACGTACACTTTTAAGTGTCATTTTTTTTCTCACGTTTAAATATTTATTAACACTTTTTGATAGCAGAAAAATGGAAAAATTAATATAATTAATTAATAAGAAGAAATTTTAAAAAGTTTAATAGAAATTAAAAAAAAAAATTCTTAAAAATAACAATCTTTGCACATCGTCGCGTCGCGAGACAACGAGTTATCATGAATTTAAATAAAATTTCAAAGAAACTTTTTCGAATTTCCGTTGCTAGGATTTATGCATGTTATAAAACTGTAACTTTTGTTTCATGTGATATTCATTAATTTTAATTTATCTCGATTATTTTCTTTCCGGGAAGGATTACGTAGCGTTGCGACGCGACGTCTCGATTGCGCCACGCCCGAAATAACTTTTAAATCGTTATTTAAATACAGTAAGTAAATATCCTCTGCCGTTGTTATTGTTCAATAAGCATATTTTTCAGATAATTTTGTTTAAGCTCTGGTCACTTGCAATTTTATCATAAAACAACGAATTGTAAGTTTCAGGTTCGCTTTACAATTAATGAGTCCACCAGTGTCCGAGTGGATAAACACTAGTCGTGGGTTCACACCTCGCCAACTGGCTTGTCACGTGGAGTTTTCCGGGTTTTCTTCGTTTTTAATACCTAAACTGTGGCCAGTTTTCCATAAAAGACTTCTCTGGAGGTATTTTCCTGGAGAGATTGTCAATATGTCGCGTTGCCTTATACGAATGAAACCAAACTTTACAATTAATATTTCTTTTGTGGTTTAAATAATTAACCTCGACTTCTATTTTGACCACAGGAAATTCGTAAATGAATAATTTTTTTCTACTAGAGCTGCAGTTCCTGATAAATAAAAAATTAATTCTATCAAATTATTAAAATTTGGAATTCAAGATGTTTTTCGTGCATTTGATTAAACATTTTGACCCGTCTGTCAGTCAGGGTCGTGGAAAGACGGGGGCAGAGGGGCACGTGCCTTGGACGCCGAGGCAATGGGGCGCCAAAATTCCAAAATTGTTCCATTGATGAACTTAATAAATTCATAAAAATTTGGGCGATCTGACGAACGGGTATGCCTCTAGAAAGGACTTTCTATGGAAAACTGGCCGCTATTTAGTTGTTTCTAACGTAAAAAAAAACCCGGAAAACTCCACAAGAACCTACGTCCGATTACTAGTATTAAGTAGTGTTACCCACTCGTCCACTAATGGGCTTTTAAATTTGTAACGGACTAATAAAAATCCTATCCAACTGCGCCATATTTAACTTTGCCCTTGGTGCCAAACGTCACGATCCTGCTATCAGCTACATTAATTTTTCTTTGTTTCATTTCTCCCAGTGTTTGGCTATTATTGTCCTTATTAGTGCCCATTGATGGAATAAACGAATTTCGTCTGTTTCTATTCGTGTAATATGTTCCTTAACTTCGTTAAAACTACTTAATATAATAACTGGAGTGTAATTTTTTTTTTATTTTCACTAAAAAATTATACTAACTAAAGAAAAGAAAACACTACTATCTTATTCAAAGCGATATGCATGGTCAACCTATCAAATATTAAAATTTGCTCAAAGATAGTGACAGACACATAGCTAAATATGTACAGATAATTGCGCTAATAGGTTTTCTTTAAACTCTTTCCACTCCTAAATCATACCCGTTGACGGGGAGGTCGAGTGACAAGGTACGAAGACAGTCTTCGCTAAATGTACTGTACGTTATCTCATATCTGTACGCTCTCAAAGAGCCGTGTGATTGGAGACAGCAACGAGGAACGATGAATACATCCAACATGTGTTGAGCATGAAATCTAGTTTCGAATGACGCGAATGTTGCCACATTGCCATGTGGTTATCTGAAAGTTAAATACAATTCTAATACGTACCCAGTTCAAGTTACTTATTGAAAGTTGAAAATCCTATCTGGATTCGAACTAGAAGCTCTCAAAGCGATAGGTAGACGTCTTGACTCTACGTTTCATTGTTTGGTATTTTACAATTGAAAGTTTAAAATAAAGCCCTCTTCCTTGTTGGCGGTGGCATTTTTAATTATGCTAAATTCAGTAAATAGTGGATTTTGTAGTTCTGTAATTATCCTATCAATTAAAACCCTGTGGGAAAACTGTAAACCAACAAACAGTGCCAATGTATATTGAGTACATTGGCATTATTTACATAGTTATGCAAAAATGGTGTATTTTTTTAACGTAAACTCCGAATTGTTAGAAATTCCACCAGAAACTCAATAAATTGAAGAGAAATTTTCTTTATTTACAGTATCTTAAAATGAACATAAATAGTTTGTTTGTTTGTATACGCCAACGCGTCACGCGGGCGATCTGCCCTGAAGGGATGCTTCCTGGAAGGACTTTTCATGAAAAACTGACCCCTATTTAGGTGTTACAAACGTGAAGCAAACCCGGTAAACTCCACGTGCTAGCCCATTGGCCAGGCGCAAATGCTGGTTTGGTGGTTTTATCCACCAAACCAGTGTTTTAATATACTCGGGCACTAGTGAGCAAAAACTAACATATAACAATGTCATTTACAATGAGTTAAAAAACAAAAGTAAAGATAGGTTTCCGTGTTGCAATATCAGTTCTATCTGCTACAAAGTATGAAATATATTAAGTGGCACGAATCACACCCTTAACAAAATCACAAGTATTTTCATAATGATGCAATAGGAGAGTTATCTCTTGTCAGATAATGTAAAATCACCATCTGGTCGACTTTTAGTCTGTAGTTTCAATGACCTACAGTGACTAATTTATGTTTTAGAGCATTTTAAAAGTTCATGTAAATAAAACTTTTATATACAGTATATATATTGTATTTATATACTTAATTTTGTAGCCTCCTCTGTGTCTGGAATTCAGATCGTTTTAGCCTGGGCCTCACTAATAAATAATAATAATAATAATAAACGTAGTGATACAATGCGAGTATGTATTTTAGTTTATAAAGTATACTTTCTCATATTGCATACTGAAGCATGGTCAACCTAAAGTTGCGATCATATCAATCCAAGTTTTACAATCATTGGATCTCAATCCCTCACAACTGCTCAGTGATATTAGAGAATCGACAAATAAAGATAAATGTAAATATTATTTTCATATTTTTTTATTGCAGAACCACTATTTTCTTACTGAATATTGTGAAGAAAACAGCGTAGTTTAACATAATTCAAAATTTAAGTAGAGAGAACCTATGATGGTTTCTGTAGCGCTCACCAGTGGCCGAGTAGACAAAACTATTGAACACTGGTCGTGGGTTCGCGTTTCGTCAATGGGATGGCCACGTGTGTTTTCTTCACGTTTGTAACATCCTTCCTTCGGCAGATCGCTCACGTGTCGCGTTGCCCTATACAAATAAATCAAATTAATCATGGCTTCTGTAACTTCTTTTTGATTGGATTAATAAGAGAAACAAGGCATGAGTTATCCTCTAAGGAAATATGCCTCCCAAGAGGATTTTTTATGGTAACTGGCTCCTGAAGATGCAAATAAAACCCAGAAAACTTTACATGGTCAGTCCGTTGGTCGGGCGCGAACCCGAGACCAGCAACCAATGGTTTTATTCATTCGGTCTTTAGTGGGTGCAATTTTTTTTATTAAAAAATCTGTTTAAAAAACTTTTTATGTATATATTTTTATGGCTTTTGGCAAGGACGTAACTATAGGAGGCATATGCCACCGAGCCCATCGGGCTGAGGGGCTTACCACACTAGATTTTTCTTTCGATTAACCGATTGGATCCCCAAAACAGGAGCTATTCACATTAGCGGAGGTCCCTTACCAAGAGTAAAATTCAAAAATCTATATTTTGCATCCTGGCCAACTAATTCGAAGTTACGCCATTTGAAAAGAAGTAGGGACCCGCATTTGTAACTGATAAGAACCTCACCTAACTCTTAGGTACTGTGAAATTCTATTGCGCCATATCTTCCAAGAACCAAAATAAAATAATGAATTTATGACAGAGTGACATCCCGGATATAATATATTTTCAAAACGTTTAAATCTTATTATTTAAACACGAAATTACTTCACGATAACAAAAGATAAAAGTAAAGCCTTTCATAACGTAAGAGTTAAACCCGTCTTTGTTTGTATTCTGTTTTACACTCGCCCAAAACAATATTTTTATTATCAATATTCTTATCTCGCGAAACACATACATTAACGGAATCTTATATTTTGAACTTTGTTTAGTAAACAGTTGATGTTTCTCTTTTGTAATCATTAGAGCAACACCCGGATCTGTCATCTCTTTCAATTACATTTACAGGAAATGGCGGCCGTATAATTAATTTATTTTTGGAATTATCACCCTTTTAAATCGCCATTATATAAATATAGGATAAGGTCGATCGTTATTAACGTAAGCGATTGGTTAACCCGTCTCTAATTCGATCTCTTGTTCGTTAACATTTGACCTTTAGACTGTTTGAATAATTATCCTTGGATAA